AAGGGCTTTATTTCCACAAGTGCCACTGCTTCCAGAAACACATGCACATATGTGAGTTCAGTTAACAGCATTCACATAATAAGGGTTGCTATCCTTATTCTTTCAAATTCTAGGTGATTCATAATCTAACAACTTCCGCTGAAGTGTTTACATGTCAAAATAGATTAAAAGAAATATAAGAATTGTGACACCAGATGGGAAGTATGTATAGAACTATGAATTCTGTGTAATGTCACAACCCTGCCAAAATCCTTGGTCCCCATTTGGGAACCATCGATAAAACCAGCTTGGTACAGGCCAGTTATGGAAAGAGTGTGGCTTCAGCAGCAGTATATCAGTTGAATCACTAGGTTGAGTACTGCCGGTGTTTCTCTGTAGATCCCTCTAATTGTCTTCTGATTGCAATGTATTTTTGTCCTGTATGAGTGCCATGTTTTCATCACCTCATTTTTTCCTGTGAAAAAGCACGCGCGTGTGTGTGTTAAGTCTGTTTCTCTCATTCTCTCCCTCTTTCTTCTTCTGCTCATTATCTAGACTCAGGCAGGCTGGACATGCTCCAAGGTCAGAGCTGTGAGGCGATGGCCCAGATTTTCATTTTGCCAGGGCCCCTCCTTTTCTTATCCTCTGTCAGCACTTTCACAAGTTCACTCTGCAGACTCAAATTTCGAGAATAGAAGGAAATAGTCATGTTATTGTGGTTGCTTGAACAGCGTGAGAGTGACTGACTGACTGAAAGGATTGAGTTAGGTTTCCTAGGCTTCTACACCGTTATCTTTCCAGGGAAAGATGTCTGAATGTGCTTGACCTTTTCCTAGCCACCCCGTGTTTTATTCACTCATTTAAGCACATTCATATCTGAGAGCTGCAACCACAGCAGGTGTTCTGCTATTTGCCCCAGAGCAGCTACATTGAAGCAGGTTGGGTCAGGTGCTTTTATCAAGGACAGGGTGACAGGTGTTTTTGATTGAAAGAAAAATACCTCCAAATTACCAAATGTCATTGAAATCAAGTGGGCAAGCCTCACAGTTTTTTTTATTATCAGTTACAGTGTGTTCCTTGTTTTAAGATCCTACAGATTTGCTTACAGTATGTATTTCAAATAATAAGATGATTATTCATAGAAGAATTAGCATTCCCCATGCTTCAGTTGCTCAATCAGAGAGCTTTTCTTTAGATGGGTTTTGTGCATATATGATATCAGTGTAATTACCTTTACCCCTTATGTTTTTTTTTCTCATGATCACACCCAAATCTTCAAGGGAAGAGTAATCTAGCACATGCTGCTACATGAAGGCTTCAGCCCTTCGTCCTGGTTGCTGGTAATGTTTGTCAGCTAGTGATTTTGGTTTGTACTCACAACTCTTGTAGTCACTGTGTACCACCAAAATGCCCAGTGTATAAATATAGAAAAATACAAGAACAGAAATCCAAATGCTCTTGAAGCCAGACACTAGAGCCTTTCAGCAGAGCAGTCATCATAGAAATGGACTTTGCCTGTAGCAACTGACAAAGGTAAACAGGGCTTGAAAAATACTCTTTAGCTTTTGACCAGGGTTAATGTCTGTGTGAGAGAACCAAGCTCTTAATTGCTTTTGACCCCGTTTCTGCCCTCCTCGTCTACTTAAGGCTTTAGTTCATTCTGCTTTGTTTGGGTTGCTAACAAAATCTCATAAAAACGAACAGTACAAGGGCTCAGCTGTTCCAATGTTGCAAGCCTTCGTCTTAGACCGGGAATTTTTGAATTATAAAGTACAGAACATAAACCAAATCAATTAAGTTGATGTCAGTTCATTAAAGTTTAGGTTGGTATGTATTAGTAGAAGCTCACAAAATTAGTCAAGTTTCTTTTGCCATACAATACATCCTTCAGGCAGGTTTGACACTAAGAGGCTGGCACTTAACATATTTGGCTGAAATAGGCTCATGTTAGTTTCTGCAGGCTCAACAGTGTGGTTTTGGCATCCACATAATTCAACTTGCTGATTTATGGAGTTGATGTCCGTGCATGCTTTTGTAATTCATTAGACTTAATTGCAACACCAGGTTATTTCCTCCTTCTGGTAGTATAACCTGCAACTAACCATGGCGAGAATTAACTAACCAGCTAGCTTTGAGCTCAGGTTCAGCTGTGGAGCACTTTGGTGATGTAGTCATGGACTTGAGAAGGGCATATTCTTCGCAGCCTTCTGTTGCTTGAGATTTCAGCAAAGAGAGTGCAGTTCCTAAGCCTAGAGGACCTATAGTACCTTTTACTCAATTAAATTGCTTGTTTTCTGTTGCAGGAGGGAATTTAAAGGCTTAAAGGTTGCATTTAGGTCAGCGTTGTATCTTGCTGATGAAGCACAACTGTAAAATCTTATGTAACTAGGACAAATGCAATGAACGTGTAGATTTTACAGTAGAAGAATTTAGTCTTGCTCACGGTGGTCTTAAAGTACCTAACCCTCTTCACATCTTCACACAAAGTCCAACACCCCGCAAGCTGCCCCCATTCACAAGGAACGTGTTCATAAACACACAGAATTATTTAGGTATGTTTACCGTAGTTGGAGTAAGAGCAGAACAGAGATCAAATTTTATGACTAAGTGTTCAGTCTTGTACATTTTGTTAAAGGAATGTGAGTGACCTCAAAATATTATTTCTGTTAAAATTATAAAATAACAGTTGACTCGTCTCAATTTAAATTTCTATTTAATTGAGAGGGACGTAAGTCTTTAGTTAGAACATCTAGCTATGGTCTATAAATCTGTACAGTATACGTTATATATGCGGTAAAAGATTTCTCTACATGTTTATGTGAATTCCTCATCCCAACATCCCTTATTGTAAACACACGGCTAACTCAATCAGCCTCTTGTTTTTCCCTGACAGTGACCAGATGTTGGCAGCTGTCAGTGTGATACCATACGGAAGAACAAACAGCTGGAGGGGGTTTGGGGACTGCCATCCACTGCTACTGCAGGGTGTCTTTCTTAATCCCTTTGCTTTATGCTGACACATGACACACTATGTCACACTCACAGTGCTGCTGTAGCTTGTCAGTTTTCCCTTGAATGGAAAAAATGACATGTATGTTCAAGCTTTAGTTTAACAAGCCTAATATACTGATAATTAGTTTTACCAAAAACAAATGGGAAGGGATAGAGAGAGTAGATCTAAACCTTTCCAGTGCTCTTATTGTGTAAACTTTCCCCAGATTATTAGTGCTAAACTGTTTTAAATGTGGAACATGCATCATCTGAAAGTCTCAAATGAGCTGAATGACATAAGCACTACTTTTCTCTGCTCTTGTATCATCAGTCATTTTTTATAATGTGCAAGTCCAACAAACATTTTCTTTCCTGGCTCTGTTGTTCATTATTAATCTCCACATGGTGCCTGTTGCTGCGGTTAATGATGCTTTTCACAAATAGGACATGACCAGTGGGGCTCAACAATTAATCGAAAATTTATCGAAATCTCAGTATGGCAAAGTGCGATAACCACATCACAGGATCTGCAATTTTTTGATAACGGTAAAATGTGTCACAACATACCATTAAATATGAAGCATTGTGTTGCTACTAAGATGCCCTGGCCTGCAGATCAGTTTCTTCACAATAAAGGGAACATGTTTGTTTTTTACAGACAGCAGCAAAAATCACATCATCATTTTTATATTCAGTAAAAATGGAAGTGATAATGAAATTCAAAATGCAAAAGCTATTTTTTGCATATCGTTCACCCCTAATGATCAGTGCTAACACTGCGCTGCATCAGCTCAGACTTTATTGGCTCATGTGTCCAGTGGGAGTGTAGAACACAAGGTGTTGTGGTGGTTAAGTGCATAGGCGAGTTTTGTCTTTTCTGCTGATACGTCTTTGTACAGTGCAGAATGAAGAAATGACTCCATATAACATTATTGGTGGTGCATTTTTCTTTGTTCCCTCCTAAGTTTACAGTATTTTCATCAGCCACTTATCTACCGTTCCTAGATTGGAAAGGTAGGCTACAATAACATGTTAAACGGTCTAATTTATCACAAAGATGAGTAGAGATTAGTTTACCAAGCCTGTGCCTCTTCCTCCTCGGTCGTGGCACTGTGAAGCTCATAGGCTGTTGATCCTGTGGAGAACCGAGCTGTGCTTTGTCACATTTTAAAGGGCACAGTGCCAGACCTGACTCCAGCCCTGTGGCATTACCCAAAATGGCAGCTCTCAGTTTGGCTGCCTCTAATGGAGTGTGTGTTGCGTGGGCTTGTGTCAGTACTTCACAAGTACATATTAACATGTATTACAGTTGTAGTTTTCAGAGGCTATAATTGTACAATATGGGCATGTTGGTGAAGCTGAATTGTTATGTTTAACTTTAAGTACCTCCTGTATTTAAAAATGGTAAAGATGTTCATATAAGATGCTATACGCAGGCAAATATCTTTCTCATTATCATGGAGCGTGATCAAAAAAATCTTGTTTGACTAGAATAGCTTCTTGCAAAGTTCAGGAAAGCGATAAAAAAAATGGGTTCGTCCTTGGCCCATGCCCCGTCCCTCCACCAAATTTGATGCAAACTGGTTCAGCAATTTTTCTGTATTCCTGCTGACAAACAAACAAACCGAGATAATCAAGTAATAGTCAAGATTAATGTCAGTAATAATTGTGCTACTCTTATGATATGCAGTATATGCATGTGCTGTTTATTGCTTCCCTTGAAGGTCAGAATTGAGGAAGTGTGATATAGAAAAAGCAGATATATTTAGTTTTATTTAAAACATTCTTATCTGATTAGTCTGTATGTGGTGGACATGGGACCGCGGGCGAATGGGGAAAATGGTCATAATGTAGCATGTATGGTAAATCATATTGGCACAGAGTACATTCTTTACATAATGATTCCCCTGCAGTGTGTCTTTTATCCCTGTTTTCATGTAGCATATGAACGCCTCTCAGTGTCAGAGAGGTTGATAGTATTGAGTCATGGTTGCACTTGATTTCATTTGGGTTTTTTTCTGTCCCCACAGAGCCACCATAGAGGAAGTGGAGGGGGATGTGTGTGAGTTGGAATCCAAGCTCGACAAAGTGAGTACCACCCTTGAAAAACATTGGTTAATTGTTCATTTGTTCTACTGTGTGAACTGGCAGCTACAAAGGCTATCCTGTGAGTGGAAAGTTGCAGGTTTGTCCACGGCCTTGTCCCCGTTATATCCCCCAGCAGATTGTCTTTGAATAAGACTTGAATATAGACAGTGTGCATCTGGCTCACACTTTGATGAAATATGTGGGTGTGTCTGTGTTTAAAAATATATGAAAAAACAACCGGTACTCTGTAGTATGTAATGTAATTGGACAATTTACCTCTGTAATCCCTAAAAACCATGACTCACTACAGTGTTTCACTTGTACCAGTGATTATGAAATTGGAGCAGATCACATATCTATCCATTGCCAACACAGTGGGAAATGAATATAAACTGCCAGCCAAAAGCAGGTTTACCTGTGTCTGTTTAATTGACACTATGAGCATTCTTTTCTAGAAAGCCTGTAATCATTTTTAACAATTTGTTGATCAAAATCATAAATATAGTGACAGTTGTAATCTGTTCTGATCATGACCACATGTTATGTGTTTTTTGGTCAAAACTATAATGGATAAACAAGTTTAGACAGATTCTCCTACTCTCTTTATCACCGTTTTCTGTATCTTAGTGTGATTTGCTGAATATGAGCACTAGAGTGTGTTTTTGGCTTCTTTTTGTTATGCTTGATGCTTCCTAAGTAAAGCTAACTTTCACACGGGAACCCCTGTTTTTTATTGCCAATAAATGTTTGCCTTTTGGGGTTATTTCCTGTAGCTGGTTGATATTACATTCCCACTCGTAGTGCACTGCATCACAGATCAACTCACTCACCCTGCTTAAATCAACTAGATCAAAGTAATACACCAACCAAAGAATCTAGTGATAATCAATAATAGTAGTACCCTGCTGTGGCAAACAAAGTCCTCCTAACAATGGATCCCTGGAGTGCTGAGAGTAAGTTCACTAGCTGAGGATGAGGCCTTGAGATCTGAGTTCATACTTACAGTCTTACAGAGTCCCACCCTCTGGAGAAGAAGGATCTGCTGCAGAGAGGGTGTGTTTGTGTGATACAGTATATGTGTTGATGGGTGGAGTCCAGAGACAAGACCGGAGTTCAACTTTCTTTCTTTCTTTGAGCTTCCTACCTGCCACTTATGTTCACACAAAGCCATGTTGAATGAAAAGTAAACACACTTTTAACTGTGCCATTGTAAACTCTGCTTTTAAAAAGACTCTTTTCCTAAGATGGTGTGTAAACGTACTGGGGACTGTAACAATGGCTGTCTGGTGTGTTATGGCTGAGGATAATGTTACAGGTTAGATTGAGGTCAGATGTGATTGAACTGTGGTTCTTTTTTTTTTTTTTAATAAAAGCTTCCCTTGCCCAGTATACATGGTTACTTTTATTTTGAGTTTCTGAACCACATTTTATTGAGAAATTATCTACTAATCAAACAAACAAAATGATAGAAAATATCAACACCCTTATGTTTAAATATTAATCTATAAATAAAGTATTGGTCCTGTCAAAGCCAAAAAATTTATAAAAATTGTGTCACCGCATATTATACTAACAAGCAGATGAATGTGGTGTACCAACAGCAGAATGTGTGTGATGACAAGTGTGGCAGGAGCAAAAACAAAAATCTGTTATGCAAATGAGATCACAAAGGAGATGCAAATTATGATGGTGTGTGCGGGTGTTGTGTGTTGAAAGGGTATTCAATAAAGAGTCACCATCCATCTTGTCTTGTAAGACCTGCTCATATATAATAATTGTTTACATTACAGACAAGCACCTAAAGGGTCACTTAAAGTTACTGTTTACCTTTTAAACCTTTGCTACTAAGACATTTACATGTTTGAGATGAAACACATTTTTTGAAACATAAAAAAATCACTATTATATAAACAGTATTATTTAGATTATTACTCATCGTTTGAGTTTAATTCCCTTTCTGATTCAAATGATTGATTTACTTGAGTTTTGCTGCAAAACACCCAATGTCATATGTTTCAACAAACTTTCCTGAAGGAGAAACAAGCACTTTGTGTTTTTTTAGTTTTTATTTATTGAGTGCTGATCACTTACTTATCAGTTCAGGAGATTGCTTAAAATCAGCATGTGTAGTTGAGTTATTTAGCTGCTTCGGCTGCAGAGGCAGATTGAGGCTGTGTCATCTCCTGTGTGGGAGTGGATGGAGAACGGCCAGAGTTTGTTGTGAGTTTACGTAACCTGGAATTATCTTTGGCCCCAATGAGTCAGAAGGGAAAGAAGTGCCTGTTGTTAATTACCAAGAAACTGGCTTAGCTTGTTGTTTTTCAGTGTTATTCTTATACACTGCAGATCCTCCTCATCGACTATGAGTCCAGCAAACTTAAAATATTTTTAATAAGAATGAATATCCTGAAGAAATTAACCAGCACTGTTACAAGTTTCTCTTCATTCAAGTGTTCATCTACACTTCTGTTTATAACTGCATTCCTGCATTTCTCGCATATTCCCCCTTTAAGTATTTCCCTCTTTCTCTTTCTTTCTAGTTGGTGAAATTGTGTATTGGGATGATTGATGCTGGAAAAGCCTACAATGCAGCCAATAAGCAGTTTGTTAACGGGATCCGGGAGCTAGCCCAGCAGTCCACCAGAGATGAAGTCATCGAGGTAAATAGAAAAACATTCTGGCTTGATCTCAAACATTGAGAGTCACCAACGTTAACACTGTTGCAGTGTGGGTTTTCTTATTTTTTGTGTGTGTGATGGCAGGTCTCTTGAAATTTTATAAAGTAATGAAATATTGAATATAATTTTAAGTTATTAAACAATAGTAAAATAAAAAAACATTTTAAAAACGAGTTTGAATCGGTATAGTGTAACATCATAACTTGCTTCTTCCTTGTTCCCATTTGTGAAGAGGCCTGTACTTCCTCTCTGTTAACATGCACTACCTTGTTTTCTCTCTTGAGTAATGTGTTTTCATCCTTGATGACATTACCAGATTAAATCTAAATTTACAAAAAATGAGGCTTCCTAAAATCCTGTACTGTCCACTGGGTTTTGCCGAGGTCAGATGTTTTGTTTTCTCACATGAATTTTGCATGGCAAGGCAAGCACTTCCTCTCTGTCTTTGTGTACTTTGTTCACTGCCTCTCCCTAGGGTTAGAACTTCAGCCACTACATGTATTTGGAGAGAGTGACTTAGCCAAAAGAATTCTTTCCCAAGTGCTAGTGTGTCTGCAAAAAGACCATGGTTTGTGCATAGACATACCTGTCTGACAGAAGAGTTTGTGTCTGTGGTGTAGCATTTGGCAGAAATTTGCATTTCATCCCATTCATTATTTGTGCAGTCTTGGTACAGGCCTACTTTTTATTGTTTGCCCTTTGCAGTTATTTCTGTTTTATTGTTATATTCTTATCCGTCATGGGTTCATGAGTTTATCCTTCTTGGCTGCCCTTCTTTTCTCTCCACAGTCTAGTCTCACAAAGTTTGCTGAGAGCCTTCAGGAGATGATCAACTATCACACGGTATGTTATCACTGCCATGTGAAACCGGATGTATCATTATTCTTTTTTTCCCCTTGACAGCCGGGCGATGACAACACTCAGCTGGCCTGACAGTCTGGGACAGCTCTTTAGCTGTCAGTTTTATTTACTGCTGGGAAGGACAGAAGTAGACCACTACAAGGAGAAAATTGGTCTGTGAATGGAGGGCCACTGGTTTGAGGAAGGGAAGCAGAAAGTGTCCAAGAACCACTTTACAAAGGATTAGCTATACATTTAACCTTCAGCTGCTTTCATGGGTGAAATAGGGTTTTACTGAAAATGTGTCTGTCTGCACATCATACACTGCAATCCATAAAAAGAAAGCCCTTTGGGTCAGATGCAAAAAAAAAACCCCCCAAAAATAAAAAAGAATTTCTTTAACCACGACTTTAATGTCAACATAGCTTTGGGATTGTTTTTTTCACTTACAAAAGTTACTTCCCCCAGCATGTAAAGTCAATGGTATAGAGATAGTTTCCTGTCTCATAAAATCTATTCCCTGCCTCCAATTTTCTCAATGTTTATCTGTTGAACTAAATCATGCGTTCCCAAAGTAAACATGGTCATGGTTAAGTTTTTATGATGTGGTTGTCATCCTCGAGACAGCTGAAATACAAGAAGAAAGCATTCTAGGCTTCAGTCAGAGAAATATAGGTATTCTGTTGGCCTACAGGTTTTATTGTGTGGTTTTCCAATGCATGTCATTTCCAGCCACAAGACCTTGGACAATGAACTAACATGACACCTTATCCCTTGTTCTATCCTCTCTCGTCTCCTAACAAACTCTCCAAGGAGCCCAGTAGGGCAGATCTGATTATGTGACTGTCCTTTCCCAGAATCCCCTTGTTAGTCTCCTCAGTCAGTCTCTGGTAGGAATGACACTGACATTTCAAAATGGAGACACAACTTTCGTTTGTTTGTCCTCTCATTAAGACACCCTTAAGCACAGAGGAGGCACAGGGTGAGCTGGAGGCTCTTGCTCCACACTGAAAGTTCTTCTCTTCATCTCCCTTGTCATGTCTTGTTTTTGTTAGCTCTGCATAACATGTTCAGAGTGAGTTTCCAGCCAGCGTCACACTATCTGTGACATGTTTGTTGGAATAAACAGTTAAAGCTGGGGGTACTGCAACGGGGAGTTGAACCTTTGTGTTCTTTGTGGTTGTGTATGCGAACGTAACTCTTGCTCGACCCTGATATAATTATATATATATAAATTATATTTCAACTTTAAAAACTTGGTTGTTAACGATTAACAGTCAACCAGTGATTTAAGAGGCTTTATTCAAGCAAGATGTGCAGTAAGTAATAACATTCATGAAGCCATGGTGCCATTAAAGTGTCCCCAAATGCACCATACAAGATACCTATTAATGGCACATCTACATTAGATACAACCATACTTGTTATTAATTACACCCGTACTTTACCTGCTGTGACATGTAAAAAAGACCGGTTCTGTACATCCCTAATCATTGCTATTAATGCTTTAGTGCATCAAGAAAAAATAGTTTAGAGGCACTTTTATTTAGGTGTATCTCTTTTATTAATTGATTAGTTGATTGACAGAAGATTAATCAGCTACTATTTTGATAATCGATTAAGTTATTTTTTAAGGAAATGTAAAATATTATAGTTATAGCTTCATAAATTGGGAGATTTGTTTTACTTTATAGTAAACTGAATACCTTTTGGGGTTTGGACTTTGGAAATAAAATAAAGCAATATGATGAAAAATGTCACCTTGGACTCAATTCTCTGATGTCTCATGTCTTATAGACCAAGTTATTAATTAGAGAGAGGTTGGTTGAATTTGGGTTCTATAGACGGTCTTAGGTTGTACCTTTCAACCAGACTGTAAAGTTGCCAGGTTAAAGCGTAGTTGTTGAGGATTTATTGTACTGTATGTCCTCTTAACTATTATCCTAAAGGAGCTGCACAGTGGGCAGTCTATACTGAGTCTTTCTTCACAAAGTCCTCCCATCAGCTTCCTCGACTAGTTCCCTAAAAGCCTCCACCCGCCACAGTGCTTTCGACTGTGACTCAAGAACAGAAACTGTGGTCACGTCAGCTGACTGTCAGATAGGTTTTTGCCACTCAGCGTTCTTTCAGCACATGACCCACTCATATACAGTGCTCAATCTGTTTGCCACTGGTAGCTTCTCCCAGCCTCACTGCTCTTATTGTCTTGTCTGGCCATGAAATCGCACTGAAGCCTTATTTAGACAGAAGCATTTGTCGGGCCATTTGCTTGGGAGCTAATTTTTAAGGAAGCATGCAGGTTAATGAGAGTATGGCTCAAAACCAAGAGTAAACGAATCACGTCATTTCTTGTGTTTATGTCTTTATGAGGGGAGTTTACAAAGTCAGCTTGTTTGCGTAAATTTAGCTGCTTAATTGCAGCCTGTGATGTTAGCAAAAACCTAAACAGGGTTGTTGAATGCTGACTCGCTAGAGATTGTGTGGTCTGGAAAGTGAACACATGTATCAGTATTTTGTTGCTTTCTTAGAGAAGTGCCTTAAGATGTTTAATGCTTGAATTATTCAAATAACTGGAGAAAAGCTTTATCTCAAAACAGAGAGGGGTATTTACACTTTTCTGTCTTTCTCTGCAGATATTATTCGATCAGGCCCAGAGATCAATCAAGACCCAGCTTCAAACATTTGTCAAAGAGTGAGTATTAATTGAATAAGATGATAAAGCTGGTTATTCTTCTTAGAACCCAGAGCTTTTGAAGAATGATGAATGAAAAATTTGTGTCATCTGTGAGAACAACAGCACATGTAACATTTAGGGATTTAACTCATGCCTTTAGATCAACTTAAGATGAAGAACACTGGACACATTTGAGGTGGACATAACATAACATACCTGCACTTAAATCCATGTTAGCTGAATTATGCAACAGCTGTGGAACAGAGAAAGCCCTCTCCTGAAATTATGAATGTGAAGAAAAAGAGTAGTAGGATGTCTCATCTGATGTGAAGAGGATCTGCTCCTGGCATGTAATTATATTACATAAAGGTAATCACATAATATATAATAAAGAAAATAATATGAATATGTATGATGATATTTTCAGATCTACTGTAGACCTCATTTCACCTCCTAAAACAGCACTGAGTTCCAGACTGCTTGTATAAGTGCAGGAAGCAGCGGAGGCTTCTGGTTTATTTCATTATAAGGATTAGCAGTTTTTGCCCTTGGCACAGCATGGCTAGACACCCACATCAGCAGCATCCATACTTCCCTCACAATTATTCACTACCTTGCAGCACTCAGCTGTGACTTAATCACACTTAGGCAAAACACAGCAAAGAATTAATGTGGAACACGTTATAGCTTGAGGACTCATATTTTCTCCTCCTCCTCAAAATTAGCAGCACTGCTCAGTCACACACAGCAGCTCTGCATTCACAAAAGCAGAGTCAAGTAGTTTCATCAAATAAGTTTGTTTGTTTTAACCTTCTTGGATTTCCACCTCACCCAAGATTTGTGAAATCACCTTTGATCTTGGTTGTGTTGCTTCACATCCAGAGATAACCTAGCTTCGTTTAACATTTCACCTTTCCCCTTTACAAGATGGTGGAAAACAAAAGGAAGTGTCCTATTTGACCTTGGTCGTAATTTGTGAAAACCTATAAAGGTTTATCCCTAAACTATGTACAAATTCCATTGTACCACATTTTTGGCATTATTCTAGAGTAGTTCCACCCAACTCAGCCAACAGGATTAGCAGAAGTAGTACTGAAAGAAACTGTTACTCAACAAACTTCATTTATAAAAACCTTTATTCTCACGTCCTACTGAATAATTAAATATCTTGAATATTGTTAACTGATTTTCCTTAAACAGTCCCGATTTACATTCCCACAAATTAAAAATGTTATTGTATAATACTAATACACCTCTTTTATTCTTTGCCAGTGACCTACGTAAGTTCAAAGAAGCCAAGAAGCAATTTGATAAAGTGAGTGAGGAGAAGGAGGCAGCACTGATCAAGAATGCCCAGGCACCCCGCAACAAGCAGCATGAGGTGGAGGAGGCCACCAACATCCTCACTGCCACACGCAAGTGCTTCCGACACATCGTCCTCGACTACGTCTTACAGGTAGGGTAAGGCAAGACTCGGTAATGATTGAAAAGGCAGACATGACCTGTTGGGTTTGGACTAATGTTACCGCAAGAGCCGTGTTTGTGAGTTTGCCTGCTAGTGCTGGCAGTTTGGGACGGCAGACTTTGAATTATCACTCTCCTCATGCTTGCTCATTTTACATTTTGGATGTGTGTGTTTTTTTCTTCCCTTGTTTTTGCCCTACAGATGTCAGCTACATAATGTTATTGCTGTGGCCTAATAGGTTGTTTAAATTTTAGGGGACAGGCTGTTGCACAGAATCAGTGCCCTTGCTACAAATTTCAAGTAGCAGTTGAAAGTTACTCTTTCCTTATAGGAAAGTGGCGTCCATGCTCTTCTGCAGTACATGCAGTCATTATGGCATTCCTTTAATGTGGTGCCTCATTTTAGTCCACACCTTCCTTATAAATATAAATATATATATATATATATATTAATATATCATATATATACCTTCCACCTTATATATATATATATATATATAGCGGTAGATTGCTGACATGCAGCTTTTAATATAGAAGCTTAAAAAAACCTGAGCTACACTCCGTCATGTTCGATATTTCTCTCTGCACTCCAGCCAACATGGATTTGGATATGGAACTTAATATGCTGAGTCAGGTTAAACATGCTGATGTGGCACAGACAAGAATGAACCACAGCTGTGTTTGATTCTGTTATTTTCAAAGTGAAAAGGCCCACGCTCATCCACTTGTCATGTTCCACCTCACCACGTCAGGGTGGATTTAGCTCAAAAACACGGCAGCAGTAGCTTCAACGGGACACAGGCAGCATCTGATTTAGTTGTAAAAGTAGGTAGAAGTGGTTTTTGATTTTTGCTTGAAAAAGTAACAATGACATGATGGTACTTGGTAACATACTACATCTTTATACACTTGTGTGGATAGATTGGTGAACATACACATTAATACTTTATATAAATGGATTTATAACTAAAGCTTTTAAGAAGTTATTCATCATTTTCACATAAGAATTCATATTTTTAGGTGAGGTCATTGGAGAACGAGCAGCAGAGGAAGAAAGCAAGAGGAGGAAGTACATAAGAGAATAAATGAGAAGTTTTTTATTCACTATAAAAAAAAGCCAGTGTTTACCATTTCACCAATGTGATACTGTAACATATTTGCTTGCAAAATAGTTGCCTTTTTAGAGGTTGAACAATCTGTGCAGGGAGAAATGACTTTCAGGTGAAAAGTCAAATATGTCCATATTGCATATTTCCTTTTGCACAACATTTTCTTCCTTCTTGTACTTCAACCTTTTTTCTGTCAAAGCTGCACAGATGTCAGATGACTGTACCCTGACGTTTCGCTGTGAAAAGCGCTCATTTATCATTAAATACATCAGCTGAGCCCTTGGTCTCTCCTCTTGGCCACAGTAGTGGTTTTCTTATCTTATAAGGCAGCTGCCAACCCTGTTATTGAATCTCCCTCCAAAGAACAGACAATGCTGTTCGCTCCAAAATTAGATGGTGAAAAAAACCCAAAAGCAGGTTTCAAAATAGGCTTGGCCGTGTGCTCCAGTATCCCACTACATAATCACTGTCTCATAAAAATGAAGCCTAATTAGTTGAGTTCTTATCTTGCCTGTTTATGCTTGTAGGAAATCTATAAGCCTAGCAGCTAGCACAACTGAATTAAATGGGTCTCATTTTAAGTTTCACATTTGGATTGTGCTGTCAGCACTTTTAAAACGCAGCTAACCTCTGCAGCTGTGCTTGCAGGAAATATTTTAGCTTCTTTTTTTTTTTTTTTTGTTCTTTTTAGATTGTTTTTGTGGCATTTTTGCTTAATTATACAGTGCACAGCTTACAGTGACATGCAAGATGGTAGAGGGAGAGGAAAATATATGAGAGGGGTTTCAAGCCAGACTTGCATTCATGACATTTTAAGATTGGAGCTTCTCTCTTTTACCCTGCTGTGCCATGTAGAGCTCATAGAATGCTAATTTTTGAAATTTTGGGTGACTATTATCAAGCAAGAAAAAACAGATGCAAAATATAATGAGATGAACAAATAATTCAGCCATTTGACTTCACACTTACCCCTGACTTACAAAAAGTGCCTAAAAAAGAAACGCATATAACACTGAAAAGCAGAAGCACACTTGATAAATGGGTGTTGTTTATCTACAAAACTTAACAAACCCAAAAATTCTGGACTAATTTAAACCTAAATTTTGCCTAAATGTTGTGTCTTCACAGTCCTACAAGTATGGAATTACTTCAAATTAACAACCACCTACCAACCAAATGCTTATAAATTTTGCCTGCGGCTAGTGTGTTTGTTGACACTGTATTGCACTTTGCAAGTTAAACAGTCATCGTTTAGAGGTGCTGCTCCAGTCGAAACTACTAATTGACTGTAATCAAGGGAAGGAGGCGGCTTGTAAAAGTTGTGATGCATCAGCCACTGTGGCTAGGAGATGGAAAAGTAAGCTTCCTTTCCCTCAGTGGGAGTTACATCTGTATATAAACACAACTGTGGTTAGTGTTGCTAGGGAAAAGGGCCTTACAACCTACAGCTAAAAAAAAATATCGCTGGCCACAACAAGGACCAATAGACCAATGTTAATCCATAAAATAATCCCTAAGAAGCTGCCCTGCTTTTCATAGTAGCCATACACATCCACCACGGCCCAGTCGGTGAGTCTGCTACTGTTATTAGTTCCTGTCTGTCAGAAATGAAGTTAGCCATATCTTATCACTACTCTGCAACATTAACCTAAGATAACCTCCCAGGACAGATGAGCAGCACCATGGTAATAAGCTCTGGAGGAGAAGAAGAGTCTGTCACACACACACACACACACACACACACACACACACACACACACACACACACACAAACACACACACACACACAAACACACACAAACAGGCAGAGAGGGGGAGGCAATGACTGCAGCAGGAGATTGTAGATGATAGGTGAGAAGGGCTACAGCAGCATCTGTGGGTTAAACATGAGACGTATGGCTCCCCCTGGTGCCAGATTTAGGGAGTACTGTCCAGCACTGCCTGTGGTGATGGTCTCATTCAATTTCAGTACCACTCATTTCACGCTTGTCTGCTTTCTTTCATTTGCCTTTTTCTTAAGATGTTCTTTTTTTGTTTCATCTCTTAGTGTCTCACCTCATTCCCCCTTTTCTTCTCTTCACTTTCCCTCCATGCATTTGTCTCTCGTATGTGATATTGTCACTGGGGATTTTATTTTTTTTTGTAAATCTGTGCTTTATATTATTTTCTTATCAACATGTAGAATATGATCCAGCAGCATCAAAGGTGAAACCTCTTCCCCTCTTCTCACTGTTTGTGTTTTTGTTCATTACAGATAAATGTGCTACAATCCAAGAGAAGATCAGAAATTCTGAAATCGGTACGTGTACTTCTCTAACACATTAAACAATCTGTGCATCCTTCCTTTTGGCTCTTTGAGTAATTGCTGTCTTCTCTACAGATGCTGTCCTTCATGTATGCCCACTTGACGTTCTTTCACCAAGGATATGACCTCTTCAGTGAACTACAACCTCTTATGAAACAGCTTGGAGGACAGGTACGGGCTACAGCATAAACACATGCACACACATTTTAATGAGTGATGATGTAAAGGTTACAGTTTTCTTCATTTTCTAGTCAACACAAATCACTCATGACATAATGTGATTGTGTTATAATATTATGTTATCACATTATCTTCAAATGTGGTAAACGTGATTTAATTACATTACTGTTGTTGTATTACAGTTTGTCAAGATATAAAAAATTTTCAGCTGGGAAAGTAATTGGGATGGCTGTAAATTCATGTGTCACTTCCTTCTTTTAATTTTAATACTTCTTGTAAAAATATACACTACACTGGTCCTGGACAGGATTTACAATGTTGTCAGAACATACAGTATAAACTCATGCAACATAAGCAAACATGAAGCTATTTTTAGTGGAGCAGCAGAATAACTGTTAGCTAAGTTTACATACCAGTGCACTGTCATAGGCGAACACTTATTATTATGTAGGCGAGGACAATATTGTTTCATTATTTAAACACTTCTGTTCATCTGAAGAACTCGTGTGTGAGTGTGTACTGCTCTCTTTTCATCAACTGATGTTTCAGTTCTGTGTGTGTCTGTGTGCAACCTCTGATAAACAGAGCCTTCCCTCTGAGCCAGAGGATGGGCCGAATGTGACTTTAAGATGATTATCAGACAAGGAGCTGCTGTTACAGTGTGAGGGAATGAGGAAGAGAGCAGCCCAGAAGGCTGGAAAAGGTTTTTCCTACTGTCAGACTCACAGGTTTGACAGTCAGCTGAGCGAACACAGCAAAGAAACCCGAGAATGATACTGAAGGTTGTGGAATATAAACTAGTGGCTCTGATGCTGGAGCAGTAGAAGAGCTGAATGAGAAGGCGGCATTTCTCAAGAGTGGGTGCAAGACGAAGGAAGGAAGGAGTCCAGCCACACAGTCAGGAGTCAAGGAGGAGCTGAGTGCAGCTTGTAAACATGTTTTTCTGATGTTTGAACCAACAAAAAAATGACAAAAAGGAACTAAACAGTGCTTTTTTATTTGACAAAGAGTAAAAAAGACAATTTTGGAAGCCAGATCTGAAGACTCCAGACAGCGGTCCTCTAAATTGGATTTGAGAAAAGAGTGTGGTTTCTAACCCTCATGCTCTGAAGTTGGACCCATCTGATGTTGGTACTATCAAGAAGTTGACAGAAAGAACCAAAGAGTAGCGGGAACAGAGAAGGGGGAGGACAGACCCACTTCAAAAGCACATTTTAGGAAGGAATAAGAGGCAGAATGTAATCTTATCAAAGCAAAAAGTGATTGAAACAGAATGGAAAGGCATGGACTGTAAAGCTTGTGGCTTCAACTCAAAAGACAGAAGAAAAGAAAAGCAAGGATTGTGTGAGAAAAAAGGGAGATAAGTGAAAAAGACCCTAAAGAGGGAGGGAAAGAGAGATAGAGGGTTGGTTTCAAACTGAGAACAACTTGAGTATAACTGTGCTGTGTGGATTGTAAGCCTGTCGCACTGAATTTGGAGCAGTACAAGACTGAAAGGAAAGGAAGATTAGACGCCGAGCTGTGGGAAGCAGCGACAAGAAGATTGTGGATTATTTCTTTTCTCTTCCCCATCATGAAGCTGAAGAAGGTGGAGAGGCTGTGCAGGGAGGTGTGGAGGAGCTGTCAACAGGTCTGATAATATGATTTGATGCCTGTAACGAATGAGAAAATGATCAAGGGTGGGAATACAAACCAACAACAGTTTACTAGTATATACTCTCCAGAACCAAGTCAGGAAAAAAGGTGGCACTCCATAGTAAAAAAAAAATGTGATGATCTTTCACAGTCAATAAGCTGACAAATATTTTTTTTAGAAGAAGACAGAGCACCCGGCTGAATGTCAGTGCAGGAGAAATGCACTTATTTCCTCTTATGAAAATTCTGTACATTTTGGTTTTCATCAGTTCTATACTTTGGGGGTGGTGAGAAGAAAAGATAGAAGTGGGCGGTAGACGAACAGAGCTCGTCTCCTACCCTGTCCTGGAGTCAGAAAGATGTGCAGTATGGAGCATACGGGTGTCAAGCGGTCTTGCACAATAATCTCATCAGTGCGGTTGCTTTTGCTTGTGAACAGAAGACAGAAAATTGAAATTGCCCAGCAACCTCTAGAAACATCAATGATGAAAGGAATAGTGGTCACACAAAAACAGGAAGATATTATACTCCTCCGGAGGTTAAAACCAGACTTTTACAATACTGTGGCTGTGGTTGTTTGAGAATGAGTTACTGAGCTGGTATGTAGCTGGAGCTGATACAGAAAGTTACAGCAGGACTGATGACAAGTCAATTAAACAAAGAAATATTATCATCTGTTTTATTTACCCACAATCAGCCAAAACTAAGATTACTGAAGTTCCATTTTGAATATACTTGCATGACAACATCATGATTCATGTGAAATATGCTATTTTTTCCATCCTTGCTGTTGGAAACAGCTGGACTGCTTTTAAATATAAGATATTCTGCTGAATGCATCTTTCCATGACACAGAGCCTCAGCGTTGAACACATGTGCTGAATGAATATCTGCATTCAGAGGGATGGTTTCTTTAATATCTTTTTCATGAATCATGCAGCTTGTCATCGTAGTTACATGTCATGACAGATCTGAGTGAAAGGCTTCAGTGCGGTTCTGTGGTGTGTAGGTGACAAACAGAGACTGAATGAACCGTTTGAGACGATTGTCTCCGCTGATGAAATCAGCTGGGGCTACACATAGATAAGATGTTGAAGTTAAGTTGAGTCACTGTCACAAAATATGCGGAGAGCTACACACACAAACACAAACCTGCCTTTACAGATACAGATAGAAGCGGATAGATGACATGGACTGGACTGGACTAGTTGTTATGGTGCGACAGGGAAAAACATTTCCCATCTGATGTTATCAGACTGCCGCTTTGCCGTCCACCCATTTCCTCTGTAAATAAAACAAAGGATCCAGCTCTCTCCAGTGCTGTCCTCTCTAAATATATCAAATAGTAGCGTTTTTATGTTCATATGTATTTTGTGAAAGAAAGCTCTGTGACTTTGTTGTTAATAAACAGACTGTTATTTTGCTAAAAATACTGGCTGATGAAAGCTACAGTACAAAACATTTTACCACATCAGAGAGGAAGTCAAATCTTGGTTCCGCCTTCCTCTGTATCATTTTGTACAGTGGCTTCTCTGTTACCCATTAATATGAAATTGCCCCCTAGCTTGGAAGTTGTGGTCACTGGTGCCTGTCAAATCTGTACTGAACATGCAAAACACTCATGTTCAATATGCCTTTACTGTCACATTTCTCTTTTCTGTACTGATTTCTTTTTCTTTCATTTTTGTTGTTAAATTGTTTGTATGTGTACTCACTCAGCAGAGCCATGCGTCACGCAACTGATACTGAGTATGCCAGTTTTAAATAAATCAGGGAATTTAAGGCAAATACTGCATACACAGGGTCACAAAGAGAATGATAATGATTTTAGCTTTATGTTGCCATAGGTTGGTTCAGTGACAACTATTATTAGTTTCTTGACAAACCTGTTACCAAGCTACATTGCTTTCTTTATATTAGAAATGCAGTGAAAAGAAACCAGTGGATCATTAGTGATTTGTAGGTCGGTAGTAAAAAGAATCAATGCCTGGTGGATAAATCAGTTCTCCGAAGTTCGGCACTTAACAGGAGCTTTGCTGACTGAAACTTTGAACTCTACTCACCCTTATTCACGTGTAATTCTACAAACCCCTCCTCAATCACTGACCTATAATCTGATACTGATCCTTTTGTGTTTTGGGCTTGAGACGTGCTGATTTAGGTCACATTGCGGCAACAGACAAAAGGCACACAGTAGAATTTCACCGCTGTAAGGCAAACTGGCACATTTTCAGCATCACCCTATGACCTCCGGCACTTCATTGAAGTTCTTTTTTTTTTTTTTTTTTAAATTTGTTGCTCTCCCTATGCTCAAAAGATTCTTTGTTTTTCCTCTCTGCACGCAATGGTTACTCCCGCAGACGAGGAGAATCAATCACCCCCCCATCCAATTTCACACATGATGAAGCCTCTGTAGCACAGTCCATTTTGTTTAGAGGAGAGAGTGTGTCTTGTCTCGGTGTGGCTTGTGGAAAAGTTGTTTATTTGCTGGAATCATTTTTGCTCTCAAGATTGGAAAAGGAAATAAAGAAGCATCAGTGCACACACACATACATATACCTTTCAAATTCGGTCGAAAGAGAAACCTTTGATTTAAAAGACAGATAGATAGATAGATAGATAGATAGATAGATAGATAGATAGATAGATAGATAGATGGATAACCACTCTTGTCCACTTTTCTGTAATTGTATGGTGAGATAAATAGAAGAAAAAAAAGAATCCAACGAGTAGTACATGTTTTGTCTTGAATAAAAGCTTAAACGTATGACAATGCTGTTTCTGAATGAAATGTATGTGACCAGGTGGTTTGGTAAGCTTGACTAATCAGTCGTTCTGTCTCTTGCAGTTGGACCAGCTGGTGGTAGATGCTGCCAAAGAGAAAAGAGACATGGAACAGAAACACTCCACCATCCAGCAAAAGGTGCACAGACACACACACACTCACACAATATGGCCCCATCTTCTCTTGGTTTTAAACGCGAATGTACAAAACACCTTGAACACATAAATCACAATATAACATGATCAAGTGGGTGATTGTGAATGGAAAATACGCTCACTTTGTTGTCCTTGCTCCTGTCCGGCAACCTGAAAAACACAGAAAAATAAATACTTAACTCAGTGTGTGATCAACATGGCAAAGCTACACTGAGCCTGGGCTTCTCATGTGTGTGTGTAGTAACTTTATGGCTATTAGATCCTCTTGCTTTTGGTCACAAAGCCTTTCTTATTGCACTTATGCCTCCTCCCATTAAAAGTAAATCTACAGCACTCTGCTGGGATCTTACAGGACTTTTACCCCACAGCCAGGTGCTGTTATCCCCCTGATCACAACCTCCTGCACCGCCACCACTGCTCATCTGCTCCGAACTCCCTCTGAATGCTAAAATGCTCCATGCTCAAGTTCTCAATTTGTTAGCATGTTAAAATTCAATTATTTCCAATTGAAACAATATTGCAAATAATTTGCCCTAGGGGACATTCATATATTGAAACGACTGATTTCAGCCATTTACTTTGTTATTTAAGTGAATGGAGGTAGTACTCTGCCCTCAGGTGTAAGGTAATCCTTATGGATGATCTCAGCCACACGCCCATGCATTATTGACAGCTGGCGGAAACCCATTTCCAAACAAACAAGATTGTGTTTCAGCATGCTGCCTTCTCTGTCCAGCACCTCTGCCAACCATAATATCCCCACTGAGTCACACTTTTTAGTAAATTGTCTTCCATGTGGGCACACCAGAGGTTTTGTTAAGAAATTACAAACAGGCAATAGAAGAAATGTGTTTTTTGCCCCATACAGTTTTAATTTCACAAATATGTCCTAGGTATATATGAGCCATTTTGTCATAAGCTTCTATTAATCTTGGACACTGATCTTTTGGGAGCTTCATGAACCCTCCCTAGTATAAAAGTTAAGCAGGATTGTTATGTTACAATATGTAGTGGTGGTAAATTGCCCTTAGCTTAACATCATTAACTCCAGACAACATCTGCCAGTCCTTTACCCAGCTGTTGTCTGCTGGGCTTCTGTTAATTTGTCTGCCTTTCCAGTGATATTCGTTTCAGTCACTAACTGTGTGCAAGTAGTTCTTCTTCTGACGTCTTTCTTTTTATGTACCTTCTGTCGTTTTCTTTTTTTTTTTCCCCCATCTCCTCCCCCTATATATTTTGTGTGTCCTGTCCTCTATCTCTCTCTTCCCTCTTGCTCGGTCATTGATGGTACGTGTGCCAGCTTCCGCTTGTCCTTGAGCACCTACCCTCCACCTCCCCTCCCTCAATTTACTTTGATGCTATTTTTATGTTGTCTTGCTCCCACTGCTCTCTCTTGTCTAGCTGTTTGTACACAGACATTCCTAACCAACTGTGTCTTCTTTTCTTCTACTTCTGCCCTTTTTGTCTCCTCTCTTCTTCTATTGCTCACTTCAGGCTGCTTTGCAGGTAAGCTGTGTTACTCTTCCTTTTTTTCCCTCACTGTTGATCCTGTGACATGTCTGCATGGTTGGATAGATACTGTACTCTTTGCTTTCTGCTCAGACTCCACTTCTGCAGCTCTCATCTTTTGTAGGAAGACAAGTGAGCTGGTTCATCATAAATTAAACTGGAAATATGCAATGATAAGATGCCATTTAACAGATTTTTATTTGTCACGTGTCCTTGTGTATGCTTAAGTCAACCTCAGTTTGATTAATTGAATTAAGTCTGTCTGTTTTGATACCATTATGCCATATTGCACATGGCTTTCCACACTGAACTCATGTTGCTTGTTTTATGCTCAGTTGGGTTCAGCTGTTCACACATGCCAAAACAACTGAAATGTTTTTGGTAGTGGCCTTTATCACATTTCTTTTTAGTATCTTGCAAAGGTTTCGAGGTGAATAAAGTGAAACATGCCTATAGTTATCAGTACAAGTGCAGTGGAAAAGCAATATATGGTATATATCCTGTACTTTACAGCACAACGCTAATGTATTACTTATCCCATAATTTTCAAGTGCTGCAGGTTGCAAAGTGCACAAATGTTATTCAATGTGATATTTGGCCCGCAGTATTCCCCAAGGCAACTTTGACATCTGTGGCCTTACGGGTTCTTCAATCCATCATGCTGATTTTCCACTTGCAATAGAACCTAGAATGCTATTTTAATCAACTATATTTAGTATAAACTGATCTAATGATCTGTATCAGCCTCAGGGATTAGGGTAATGTGCACCAACATTAACATAACACACTTCTACACGTCTCTGAAGCCTCCTCTTGCCTTTGTAGTTTTGTCGGTGACGCAGGTTGTTTACTTGTGGGGCTGTCCCCATTACTTACTGGTGTTGTGAAACTCCACTGGGTAGAGAGTGTTTCTGTTATACTTCAGTCTGAGCCAGAATGTGAGTTCTGGGAGTTAGTTAGTTGTGTAAAGGAACTGATGAATTGTTGTTATTGATTGAGTGACCATATCAGCCCCGCATCATTTTATTATGTGTCATTATATGTCATTATGTGTTGTATGCCATTGGACACTAAAACCTTTACTAAAACCTCCACTTTACTTGTGCTTGCACATAAACCCTTCCACAGTCATTGTATTGATGAAACCTCCCATCCTCACGGGAGTTGAAGAGGGTCCTGAGGTTGTGTTTAGTATGCTTCCTGCCTGCCTGTGTGCATTATTCAGCAGCAGCGCTGTGACCATGGAGCATGACAGAGTCACAGTGTTGCTATGGGAGAGAGTGATGGGCTGCTGACTTAAAGATTTTTCTGTCTTATCTCATAAAGAAATAAAAGGCAAGTCATTGGAGTTGAAACAACTGTGGTTTTAAAGTGGTCTTATTGTTTTTCTGTGAGAAAAAGTCCCTTAACAGCCATACATACTAAAAGGCTGAAAATTACAGACATTCAGTGTGGTTAAATGATTGGTTACTTCAGTAACACACATACGATGGAGATAAAAGAGGGAAGGGAAAAGCTGAGTGTTAAACTGAGGTCAGTATAAATGTTTGATGCCTGAGCTCCTCTGCACAGTATACTTAATTATTCTAACCCAACAGTCACACCACAACACACACACACACACACACACACACACACACGAGCTTCACTTTAGAGCATGAGGCCTTAGGAGGAGGAGCAGCCAAACCTGTGACGAAAGTTTTGATAGACACACACGGAGCCACAGTAGAGGAGGAGGTGAGAGACAAGTCATGCTGCTTATAGTGGCAGACTGTCATTGAGATGCTACACAGGTCGACTTTGAGATAGAAAAGATTCATCAGCCTCACAGGGAAACATTCGCACACACACACAACTTGGCACACACTCCATAAAAATGAAGATTTTCAGCCGTTTCCACTATGTGTGGTATCTGGTGAGTGCAACTAAGAGGCACTGAGTAAGAATGTTTGTATGTCAATGCATGCGACAGTGTCTCTGTGCCCATTGCTATTTATAGTAATAGTCTGTGTTTATGTTTCTGCTTCTTTAGTGTGAGTACGTCTCTTCTGTGTGCTTGATTTTTTTTATTTTGGCATATCTGTGATATGTGAAATTCCTTTGTGTTAGCGTAAGGAAATACATATTTCTTTTCTGTGTGTCGTTCTCTTGCTTTGTGTGACGTTTTAGGAGGTGACTGAGCTCGACTCTTTGCCAGACTGCCGCAACTTTTGTGCTTGGAGGTCGACCTCCGTACGTAGAGTCATCGCATCGATTTCCATCTGACTTCCGTTTTGTAGCCCTACCTGTCCCTGTCTTTCATCTCCTCTCCTCTCCTTTCCATTCCTTTCCTGCTCATGCTCAGAGACTGCATTGCAGTGTTTGTGTTTATGTTTGCATCTGTATCTGTAGAGTGCATAAGTCTTGATGTGTCTTGATTATGCAGCATGCATTTTGATGCCTCATCGTTGGTGCCAGTGTCCACTACAGTGAACTCAGGTTGCTGGTTTGTTGTTAGTGAGTGGTTTGTTGCTGTGCAGTCGACTGTCCTGTTTTGGCTGTTTGGATAATAAATGAACGTATCTCTGTTGTCAGACGAAAACCTTGTGTCTCTAAAATGTTTCATAAACTAAGAACAGCAGCCTTGCTTGTAGCTTGACCGCTACCTGATTTTAAATATATGAAACGGAGTTGAAAATTATTTCCCAGGCCTAAGTGGTCACAGAAATTTTTCAAGCCATAGTTGAAACAAAAGAACCAGGGTGGTTTTCACATGACAGCATCACTTTGTCTTTCATTCTTTGGCCGTAGGGATTGTGGGTCATAAAATGTTTGCATTTGTGTTTGAACATGTGTGAGTGAACGCACACATGGATCAAAGAGGTCAGTGTTACTGTCATGATTTCCCTGGCCCTAGATGAATCTGAAGGCCGTTATTTTTCTACACGTTGCAGTACTTTTGTCCCACCTTTAGGAAAAGGTCATCTGTTGAATTCCTGAAATGGAATCTTTCCATCATCTTTCTGTTCAGAAGCTTAATACACAAACATTTTGTTCGCCTTGTGCACCCAAAATAACCTCCCCTGTCCCAGTGAATGTCATGCAGGAAAATGTTATTTGTGTGTGTGTGAGTGAGTGTGCATCCATCTGATTACACCATGGCATCATAGGAAAGAGGGGTTTAACTTGTTAAGCTTTCGCTCAGGCTACATTTACACCAGCAATGAGTGGGAACATGCATGCACAAATGGACACTGTACCGTCATCTGTCATGCACTATCAATGAATTGATCAAACTCTATTTATGTAGCCCCTTTCCTACAGATTCATGCAATTCAGAGTACTTTACAGATGACTGACATGCTGATAAGACAGAACAAGTGTGACAGTAAAAACTATTTGAAAACAATTTATCAAATGCCAAAAAGAAAGATGTAATAAATATAAAATAATAGATAGATATAAAGTATAAAATTAGACCCATTGGAGTCCTGATATTTCCACTCTATGTGCATGTTTAGCATGGCTGCTTTCCAGGAAGTAAACAGGAGACAGGAGTCACTGCCTGCGGAATGACTGAGGTCATTTCCACTCAGCACTCACAGTTATCAATGTTGATGTGTTTGACTTACTGAGTTAGCTATACTGGGGTTTGTCTGTCATAAGAATTTATTTATTTGTAGTATTTTCAGTGTTTTGGTCACAACATAAAAGTTATTGCATTTTTGCAAGTCATTTGAATCCATCAGCCATTTGCTTCCTGTTGATTTTGCCATATAATTACTAAAGTTCCTCTTAAACTTATACTTAAGAACTGACAAAAAGAAGGTCACTACGTATCAGTGATGTGAAGTGGCAGGCAGAGGAATGTTTAACTTCCACTGTATAAATGCTGTTCTAAAGGTTTGTTTTGTTTTTTCGTTTAATTCTTGAGGTGAACATTTTTGATCAGAGCACTAACTCTCATCGGCTTCATGAGGGTCAAGATGAATCAGTCCAGCCTGAGTCAGAAACATAGTTTGGATTCTTTTAGAAGATGATTCTCCAGCTCGATACAGTAACAGACTTAGATATTTAGTTGTAATTGGTTGTGGAGATGATGACACTGTAACTTGACTCCACAAGGACACACACACACACACACACGAGCATCATGGTATTCAGTGTCACTTGAAACTGAGAAAGCTGGGAGGGTGTTAGGAAAGTGTGGCAGCAGCTCAGGTAGTTAAAGATAGACTGGCTATAGGGACAGGCCCATGACAACACAGCAGATTGAGTTACAGCACAGTCAGTGAGAGAAAGGATGCATGAAAGCTCAGCTTGGCAGCTTTTACTCTTTGGAGGACAATAACTAATTCACTAATCTAGCTGAATACCTGCAGGAATATTTAATGTAGAATCTTCATTTAAAGATTGTTTGTTTTTGTCCAGGTGTAGCAGTAATGGGGAGGGAATTAGACATTTAACCATTTACTTAGTTTATTTGATTGTTTTTTTGTTTTTTTTTGGTTTGTTGTTTTGTACACAAACAAAAACAATGTTGTATATACTGTACTTGTTGCTGGCGATGTATTATCTGGTCATTCCTGGCCTTTATGTTCCCTTACATTTGGATCTTCACTTCAGAGACAGACGGGTGGACAAACTAAAACGTTTCAAACCTTGAGGCAAATCTTGAAGAAGTGGGGTGCAACTCCACATTAGAGGTCTTCCACTATTTTGTTACATACCCATTAAACCTTGACTCTCAGGCAATAAATTGGTTGGAATAGATTATTACTCTGTAAGCATAAGGCTGTTGTTTCTGTCTTTTCTGGTTCATGGTGTGAAACATTATTCTGGTCAGTGTGAGCAGTGGCTGTGCTGCTCTGCACAAGGTCATTTAGTACTTATTAGTGAAACTACTAGTCCACATTTGTCACCTCAGAGAAAATCATTAGCATCAAAAGATCTACGAGGATAATGTGGGAGAAAAAATATTTTAACACGGTGATTGTTTGTGTTCTTTTCCTTCCTTTCCATCTTTTTTTCAGGATTTCTCGCATGACGACACCAAGCTGGAGTACAATGTGGACGCAGACAACGGCATCGCCATGGAGGGTTATCTGTTTAAGAGGGCCAGCAACGCCTTCAAGACATGGAATAGGTACAGCAGACGCACTTCAATTAGCAATTTTATGAATACATTAAATTCAATTTAATGACAAAGAATAGCTGGTGTGGGCTGATAATAGATTAAAGAGGGCAAGCACTGTCATCAAAATTTAGAACTGAGATATGAAAGGTGTTTTACATTTTAATGCCTCAGCAAGTGCTTTAAGACATGTTTAGAGAAGGTTTTTTTTATTTTTATAATGACTGCAGGAATATAATTGAGTAACAAAATTTTCATTCAATTGAATTGAATTGAATTTTCATTCAATTTGTCCACTCAGGCATTACAAGAGGTAATGCCTGAGTGGACAAATTGAATGAAAATTTTAATGCATTTCATGTCACTCAATTCACCCTCTCACCTTTGTCTTTTCAAGTTGACCCATATAACTCAGGTTGTATTCATATTCATAAATTCACATAGATATTGCTGTTCCTTTCATAATTTTATTCCGAAGAAATAATTGAATTAACACACTGTTGTTTTCCAAACTGCACATATAGGTTTTTAGAATACCATAGTTTACTGTGTTTAAATACATTCTGTTCTAACATGAGCTCACACACTCTCACACCTCTTGAACCGTTTCATCTACTCATCGATTCTCTCTGGATATCAAAGTATGTCAAATTGTGTGATTTATAGGAGCGTCACTGGTAACTGCATGTGACTTTGTTTTTTTGGTCTTTAATAAACTCATGATCTCCTTTCAGACGTTGGTTCTCCATCCAAAACAATCAGCTAGTGTACCAGAAGAAATTTAAGGTATGTCAAGTGACTCCCTGAACACCAACCACGATCAAATATGCATGTGTTTGACTTCCAGCACAAATATCCCTCCATGTATTTTTAACAGGATGCCGTAGCCTCTCTTTAGAGCAGTAGCAGCCAATTCAAAACGAACGTTTGGTGTAGGACAAACCGCAGCTGTATGTGAAGATGTGTTTCTGTGTGTAACTGTTACGTAAGATGTAGCCATTGAGCCATTGTGCAGCTCAAGTCACATTCTGAGCTATTTATAAACATTTAAGTTAACGTACATTTAACATAGATGTGTAGCACTGACGAAAGGATTGTGTGTAGTATTTTATTACCAAGGAAAAATGTTATTTTTGCTACATTTTAACAGCAGTTGGACAGAAACCAGCTTGTAGCTGGGTTAGACACTCTCTGCACTGGCAAGTAGGCAAAGGAAATATTACATTTAGCTAGTTTATTCAGTAATGGCCCTTTCTCTCAGGCTGGGAACGCTACAATTTTTGCAATTTCTCTGTGCCCTCACAGCAGAGGATAAACACAGTGACCCATTATATATTTACCAAAGTTAGACAAACATGTAACAGCTGTTTGATTAGATGTGGACTGTGTCCTTGTTTTTTCAGCAGGTCTGTTTTAAATACTACAAGGGATCAATAGCAAAATTTAAAAAAGCAGCACGTTTACCATGTTATGTGGAAAATCTTTGGAAAAGTGGAAAGTCCTTCAGTGGTGTTTGTGCATTGTGTTTAACCAAAGTGGCTGTTTTGTTCCCTCAGGACAACCCTACAGTGGTGGTAGAGGACCTTAGGCTATGTACAGTCAAACACTGTGAAGACATAGAGCGTCGCTTCTGTTTCGAAGTGGTGTCGCCCACCAAGTAAGTTTGAGTCACCGAAGTATTGCTCTCTATCAGTCTAATGAGCACAGCAATATGTTAAAAAATAAGGTGGTGTGCTAGTGTATCCAACCCCTTCCACATGCACACACATAGACACACATTGGGCAGACAGCAGTGGTGTGATGTCTCTCTGTCCCAACAGGAGCTGTATGATGCAGGCAGACTCAGAGAAGCTGCGACAGGCCTGGATCAAAGCCGTCCAGAACAGCATTGCCACCGCCTTCCGCGACAAGGGAGATGATGGCGAGGTAAAAACCAGACACAGTCAGACTGATTCGATGGTTGAAATGATTCATATAGACAAATACATCACATACGAGATAAACGTCAAACCTATTCACCACAGTGCTAGTAAAATAAAAGAGTATTCCACGCAGGAGAAGCTTAGGGAAAACAAAGAAAGTTTTTTTTTTTTTTTTTTATGATTTATTTGTTCCTATGTCATATAATCTAGTATTGAAACATGCATTAATATATATTTATGTATATAACACTGACTTGCTATGCTTAAATTTCTGTTAAGTCATTTTCCCTTTAGTATCCTGTAAATGTTTGCTTCTCAAAATTATCACAAAAGGATTCCTTCCCAAAGTTTCCTTTCATCCTGTCCCTACTTAATAAATCATCACTTCCTCTTTTGGATGACTGTGTACATCTCCCATCTCTCTCATGTTAGAAGCTGGACAGGAAGTCGTCCACATCAACAGGGAGTCTGGACTCCGGTGGGGAGCCAAAGGAGAGATCACTCAAAGGAGAGAGCGCCCTGCAGAAGGTCCTGGCCATCCCGGGCAATGCCTGTTGCTGCGACTGTGGCCAGCCGGACCCCCGCTGGGCCAGCATCAATCTGGGCATCACCCTCTGTATACAGTGTTCTGGCATTCACAGGTAAAGTACTGTGTTTTATCGAGCAAATTCCTATTACATGCCTTTTCACAAACAGTTAAGGATACAAAAATTAGTAGTAGGACCTGCAATAATAAACTGATGTGGAAGATGTAGATAAATAGAATATCAGATTAAAAGCAAAATCACAAATGAAAACACAAAGTCAGCCAATTCTTAAATAAACAACTTATACATTGAAGTGTTTCTAGAGAGGAGAAACTCAGAGTAACTAATAAGCTCAAGGAACTAATGTTTATTTATTTATCACTTTGCAGGATTAGAGTTCATTTTAAGTTCATTTTGTTCGCTTTAGTTATGGAAAATGTTTTCCATCACAGTATATGTACAAAATGTTCTGGTCTTATGGGATTTTTGAAATGTAAACACACTGATGTGAACACCCAGTCTGCTTGGGATGTTGTGACAATGTTTAATTACTTAGCAGGGTAAAATATTTAATTATTATTCAGGCCCAATAAGTGTGCAGGTCAGACCTCATGTTTTCCATGTAAAGCAAAAATCACACGGGAATCAGGCTTAACTTTCTCACTACAACCTAAAAAAGTCAATCGGATTACTTTTGTAGGATTTGTATTGTGATTTCCAAACCAGGGTGGGTTGAAAAATTATTAAATTATTCATTTAACTTTAAAGGATTATACAAATAATAATCCCATAAATTAGTCAATTTTTCACAGGGTTTTTCATTATCAGTTCTGCTAAATCTGTAAATATGATGACCTCCACCTTGTGGCTAAAACCTTAACTACACTTGTATGATGAAAAGTATTGACTTTACGGCATTTAACCCTGTGGCCCACTTACAATTAAAAGTATTTGGTTTTTTTTTCATGCGCAGGAGTCTTGGCGTGCATTTCTCTAAGGTTCGGTCTCTGACTTTGGATACATGGGAACCAGAACTGCTTAAGGTCAGTCAGGAAGAGCTGATGTACATAAACAATGTACCTGAACTGTTCAGCTCAAACTGAAAGTCTTTTCTTTTATGAAGTTCTTTCTTACTAACTTTTAATATCTTTTTATTGCACAGATTTAATTTCTCTTTAACTGTTTTCTGATGCTGGACAACCACTGTCTGATCCATTTAGCATGTGTAACTTAGTTATGTGTCTACTGCCTGGCTGATTATCCAGCTGTGTTGACAAATCTTTCGCTGTTTTTTTTTTCACAGTTGATGTGTGAATTGGGAAACAAAGTGATCAACGAGATCTATGAGGCTCGGCGAGAGGAGTTAGGAGCCAGAAAACCACAGCCAGGAGACCCGAGGTACAGTCCTACAAGATATATGTTGGTATTTTCAGAACAAAAGAAAATAGATTCATATGTGTACGAATATTTTCCTCTCTTTTGATTAATTTCTCACTGGATTTGTTCTTTTGTATTAAGAACTTTTTGTGTTTCTGACATTGTGAAGGAGACTTTCCAATTTTTATAAAAGAATACAATAGAATATAGGTAATACTGTCTTAATATATATGAGTTTGATTCAATCTGGATACATTAAACTCCCAGTCTGCTGCTGGTGTACACCGTCTGTATCAAACTGTGCCTGGATGGAGTAGAGAAATGGTAGTAAAAATCTACCATCTATGCTTCTTGTTTCTACCAGACATGAGGTAGAGGCCTACATCAAAGCCAAATACGTGGACCGCCGGTTTGTACGCCGGCCGTCAGACGAGGAGCTTCGCAACAAAGTGGTCACTCTGAGCAAACAGGAGAAGAGGCTGAGCAGTAGCTCTGAGCATCTGCCCCCAAGACCGCCTCCGCCTACCCCCAAACTCCGACCTGGTTCAAATGTCTCCGGACAGACAGGTCAGCATAAAAATAAATGTAAAACACACCCTTGTGTTTTCAAACAATATACACGATCTATTTCGCAACAAAACTCATTTAGACCAGACAGCGTACTGGATTTTAGCTGGATGGGTCGCCAACTCCAACAAGCTGCAATGTTTGAAAATTAGTATTTTGAGAATCGAGTTATTAAAAATCAGTTGATGGAAGCTTGGCTATTGGGTTAGTTTTTGACTCTTGGTTTAATCATTTTCTCTAATCCTCCAAAACAAAATGGTTCTTATTTTCTGCAACCCAAATTACCTGTTTACTAAACCATTTTCAGTTTGAATGTTTGTTATAACATATAAGTAACAGAATTTTTAGTGCTTCTTAAAAAACAAAATTACACTGCATCAGGAGGGCAAAGCTTCTATTGTATGCTGTATATGATTTGTATATGGTTTGCACTGCTGTGAACAAGTGTCCACCCACCCGGCATACTGTGTGTTCTTTGTGAGCAGCATATGTCTAAGCCTTCTTTGCCTCCCATTGCTTCTTGTAGTCAGTCTCCTCTGGTGTCAGCTGAGCTGGTAGTCTAACTGTCTGTGCTTTCACCCTTCTCTCCTCTCTCTCCTCTTCCTCAATTTCTCTTTTTTCACACTCTCTCTCTTTCCTTTCCTCTTGTGGCCGTTTTGTGCTTCTGTACTAACCCCTGCTCTCACCGCCTACCCCCCCCCAAACCTCCCCCCTGACACTCAATTTACTGCCTTCACCCTCCAATATCCAAACTCCCATCATCCCTTGCGTAGCTGTTGCCAGCGGCTTGGAGGCCCGCCGCGACTCTCTCTTCTGTCCTGACGAGCTTGACTCGCTCTTCTCCTACTTTGACACCTCCTCCAAGCTCAGGAGCAGTAAGTACTAAATGCTTAGTGTTTCGCTTGCTTCTCCACCCCTTCTTTTCATTCGTGTTCACTGCTTCGGGGCTGTGGACTAACAACCTTCCTTCTACACCTCTGTTCCTCCCTCATCCAGACCCTCCTAATGGACCATCCCATCATGTTGCAGAGCGTACCGTGTTTTGTTTTTCCCGTGGGGTTTGGGGAGTGTTTCTCTCACACATGGTTTTGGTCAGTGTTTGGTATTTGCATTTGTATCTGTCTCATCGTATTTTTGGTACTAAGGGACCTGAAACATAAGGTGATGGTGAGGATCTGTCATTCAGTTCTCTTTCTGTTGATTTCAGCCGGGGTCTTGTGTGCACACTTACTGTACAAAATATAAGGACCTCCTGCTGTTTCTGGTTATTGAAAAGAAATGAGCAGATGTTATCTAGGAGATGTTGAAATTTTGTTTTAGGTACAGAAAAACAAATGCCCAAAGGCTACATGAGGAGGATGTGCGTGCGGAGGATTGTGTTGTTCCACAAAAAGTGATCCAGACTCTTTGCCTTACAGTAAAAAGTGCAGACAGTGGCATCCAAAACAGCGCTGATGGAAGCAGGGAAATGCTGGCCAACACCCCCTCCAATAACAGCCTGGCAGATGCAGGTGAGACACACAAACACAAATCAAACCCTCTGTCAGCACACTGACATCCACACCTATCTAAATCTAATAGCCATGTTTAAACGGCATCTAGCACAAGCATTAGTGGGACAAAGCGATGTTTGGAGGACAAGAGAGAAGAAGAGCACAGAGAAAAATGGGAAATTGAAGAACCACAGGTTAGAGATAGAAAGTTAGAGATGAGAAGAAAGTTATGGACCAGCTAAGTAAGTCTCTCATTTTCCCAGTTTTCCAATTTCTAGTAATTTAAAGCCAAAATCTGGAAAACCTGATAAAAGAATATAATGATGATCTCAATCCTAGAAAAGTTTGGAATTTATGCAAATAGTTTGAAAATCTATTGTGGGGAAATCCAATGCATTACACACAAGTTGTTCATCTACTTGTTAACCCACCCTATTTCACATACTGCACTGTATTTGTTGTTGTGAAATAATGTTCCTGGTGTAAAGTTGCATGTTGTGTTGTCTTAGTTGAATATAAAAAATTAAGTTCTAGAAAAAAAATCAAATTCTCGCTTTGGAAAACATAAACTTTTGTTGAAAGTTTATGTTTATGTTCACCTTCTAAAGACATATCTTGCCTCCCATTTCTCAGATGCTGCTGAGTCTCCGCCCATGCCCATGCCTGCCACGCTGCCTCCTCCGTCGCCCTGTAAGGAGATGGTTTTCTATGAGCCCAAGGAGTACAGCCCAGGTCTGCAGCTTTACTGGGCTTCATGTGCCCGCAGCCTGCCAGACATGGCAGAGGCACTGGCCCACGGAGCCGAGGTCAACTGGGTCAACACGGAGGACGACAAGAGGACGCCGCTTATCATGGCAGTGCAGGGGGTAAGTATGGCAACAGATTATCTAGTCAGTTTGGTACCATTTACTGTCAGACTCAGTCAAAGTGTTGCATGTGTAGGATGTAAAACCACATCAGTGTATTGATGAATGTATTTCAGCCAAATAATTTTCAGTGTAACATAACAAGTCTCGAAATGATAACACTGAGTAAGACTAAAGTACACACCACACAACCTCAGCATTGTCGAGCACATTATTGCTAAAAGTGCAGAGATGGATGATGTGATGAAGGCCTGTGCAAACAGTGTATATTGCTCGTGTGAACATTAAAAAAAAAAAAAAAAAATCGAAATGACATTGTATTGCTTAATGTGCTTTGTCACTTGATGATAATAATCCAGTGTGTCATATCAACGTTTAATTTCAGGGTTCACTGGTCACCTGTGAGTTTTTGCTTCAAAATGCAGCTAATGTGAATCAGCAGGACACTCAGGGTCGGGGACCCCTCCACCACGCCACCATGCTGGGACACACAGGGTTTGTTTCCACATCTTCCTGCCATCACCACTACACCTGTTACACAGAGAATCTTGATTGGGTATATTGAAGAGCGTCATATAACTCAGATTGTGTTTGATCTCTGTTTCAGGCAAGTGTGTTTGTTCTTAAAAAGAGGAGCAAATCAAAATGCTGCAGACATTGACGAGAAAACACCCCTGGCCATAGCGGTGGAGGCGGCCAACGCAGATATTGTCACGCTGTAAGTGTCATCTCTATTATCATTATTATTATTTATAATTGTCTCTATTTTATGCTGGGAGAGTTGTCTCAGCACTGTGAAACCCAGACAACAACAGCACTGACCACAGACAGTTTTTTATTTATTTTATTTTTTTTATTTTAACACTCCTAAAAGTGGAAAGTAAGCCCAATGAAATGCTGGAAAAAAAGCTTGGTTAATTATACATCAGGCATTTTAAATTAACTTTTAGTTGAGAGTGAATTTACAGTGAACTTTTCAGCGTCACTAAATAAATCCTGACAGGATAAAACAAGACCCAGATTCAGAGCAAACATGGCCAGTAATGACTAACTCACTTTACATTATTAAAACTATACACAGCTGTTCAAATACAAGAATACATTATACTTTTGGTGGTTTTATTACAAGCTGAAAGAGCCGAGATGCTTCTGTCAAAACCTCACCCAGCATGTGTCTGCAGTAACAATGGAGTGGCAGCTTTTTTGGCCACAAGATGTCACCACTCAATCAGAATAGAGGTAGAAAAAAGCCAGAGTACCTCCTGTACTTATAATGGTAATCAGAAATTGATAACAGGCTTTCATTTGCCAGCCAGAACTGAGGATGTATATTATATATAATATATGTATAATATACTGTATGTATAAGAACGGACAATATATCTGGCATGTCTGAGAAATGAGCTTCAGGAAAAGAAAAAGTAAGCGTTTGATCACTGACACTATATTTCTGTAGATCTGAGACTCCCTGTTTCTTTACTTGCTCCCTAGGTTGCGACTGGCGAAGATGAACGAGGAGATGCGAGAGGCAGAGGGGCCCTACAGCCAGTCAGGTCAATATAACACCAACAGCCCCACCGAAATGCAGTACAGGAAGTGCATGCAGGAGTTTATTAGCCTGCAGCTGGACGAAACTTAATTAAACTGTCCACTCTCGTCCAAACACAGGAGCCACATACTGTAAAACCAGGCTCCCCAGAGGAAATGTAAAGCCCACGTTTCAGAGTTGGGGTCAGTTGACTTAAAAACAGCAGAATAACAAGAGGATGGCCTAAATCCCCACACAATTCATTCTCAGTGGTTTGATTATAAAATGGAGATATCTTCTTTATTAAGAGACCTCCAGGTTAGGTGATATTTGAACCACTGACTGTAATGATTGATGAGAGTGAACTGAATCCAACTCTGTCTCAGTTGTGCTCCTGTGTCTTGCTGTAACTCTAAATGCAACCTCTACTTTAACCTCCCAGTTCCCGCCAGGTGCTGGGAGAACTGCACCTTTGTCTGGTATAGCATCAGGTGCTAGACTGTGTTAATGTGACAGGGTTAAAGCCATCGACTCTGGACATTACTGAAGAGTTTTGTTCCAAAGTGGAACATCCACTTTTTCAGTTAAGTGACTGTTACTGATGTAGAATTATTGATAGCACAAAATTAAAAGAAACAGTGTCACTTTTTACTAGATAGTCTGTACTTCCTCCCTTTTAAGTGTAAACTATGTTACTTTTGTTGATTCCCTCTGTTTTAGAGGTTTTCAATGATTTATAGTAAATAATGGGAAATGTGTTTTTTTTGGGGCTAAAATACTCTGTGTCTTTCAATTAGTATTGTGTCTCTGCTATCAATCACAGTATCTGCAAAAAACTAGCTACCCAGTAACTGCCACCAGTATCCAGTGACACTCAGACCTCAAAGTGAAGGCAGTTTTCACTATCTGGCAATAATTGTGACTTTTGAATGACATTTTTTATTATCTGAACAGTCTGGAGAGGCTTAATGTGTGTGTATAAACCGCCAAGTTTCATCTTAAAGAAGTCATTTATGCACATTCCTATTGATGCTTATGCAACTATTGTACCTTTTTCCGTGACTGTAAGGTTCCCATTTGAAGTCTTAACAATTTTCAAGGCCTGTTTACTTATTTGAAGTGTTTGTTGTCCAAACATGATGCATCTTGCTTGTGGTCAGAAAAAAGAAGTCTATTTTACAACAGTTTTCTTTTATAAAGATAATTCTAGGAACCGTATAATAAGTATACATAGTGTACATGTTGTAAATGATGTGCATACATACATTTCTTTATAGTCTGACAGAATAAGCAGAGTTGAGAGTAACTCTGGTTGCACAGAGGTGAATGCCATGAGGGACACATCCTTGCTTTTCTTGTTTTGATTGTGATGTATTTACTTCCTGTTTTGACAATATTGTGTCTTGGTTATTAGTCGGTTAAGTGTGCTTGCCCATGATAATGGGAAATCCAGAATTGTAAGACGAAGGGCCTTTTAGTGCCATTGCATTGATCGTCTCGAATGTTAGTGGATTTGTACTCAGATATAGACAAACCATCAGAGGATGGTATATCGTCAAGCAACAAGTGCAATAGTCTAGAAAAATGTCCACATGTAACCATGTATAGCTTTTTATCACCTGCTAGTACTAGCTTATATTTATCTTAATCATATGTGAGCTTTACAGAAAAGTGAAGTAGATATTCACTAAGAATGTGTCCAGAGATGAGTGTGAGGCTCAGAGTTTTATTGATAGTGAATGGAGAAAAAAAAAAAGATCCAAGCGTACCCCAGTTTCATCCCACATCTCCGCACCATGCAGCCCCAAATCATTGAAGGGCACCAAAGCACTTTGATTCAATGGTCATTTCTGCTGATTCACATTGATGGAGCAGCGCAAAACAATATGTCATGTCTTTAATTGCTGACTTGTCTGGAGATGCGCTGGCTTGTTAGAATAGGGATTGCTGACTGTGTTGTGATTGCAGACAAAGTTTTTATGTCCTTTAGAGTAGATACTGAGGGGTTTCTACCATGTTCTTAGATTGTAAGGAAAAGGGACTCATGCATTTATGTGTGTTGATGACATGAGGATGAGGATATACTCCGAATTGTCATCCATTTGTCCAAAAAATCATAAAGCATGTTAGATTGAGGGCTAGATGTGCTGCTGTAGGTAGCCTGACCGTTATTAGCCTGAATGCTGCTTTTTTAAAAAGTGGAATATCCTCTGTGGTGATTTTTCACTTTTTAAAAATGAGACAGGAATGTTTTGGACCTATGACAAGAAATTCTTCTTCTTATTTTTTTTAGCATGTGCAATAGTTGTTGATAGAGAATGATACAGAAACTTTTGCTAGCGGTCGTTGCCTGAAAGGTCAACAGCGGACACGCTTAGCAGTGATCATGAGAGGAACAGAAGAAGGCTCGTCTTTAGCAGAAGGAGCAGAGTAGAGTTTGAAGTATGTGCTTCCAGTCACTGAATGATCCTCCCGTCGTTTCGCTTTGTGAGAGGATTCGCCTTGCGCCAGCATCAGCTCCGTGTCCTCTTTGATACCTGAGGGCCTCTTCATCAGCGCCTCCAATCAGCTGATGAATGATGGGATGTTCAGGGGTGATGAATGTGAGGGAGAACTGACCTCATCAATCCTGCCTCCCCCCTTTTTTTTTATTAAAATTACAGTTCCCTCGACTCAAGTGTTTCTACTTGATTGAGTATGTAGAAGCAGTGCAGAGAAGTGGTTCTCAACCTGGGGGGTGCTCTGTGATTTTTGTGGTTGTTTAAACATTGATTTATGGAATCTGGGGGGGAAAGGTATATATATTTTTAAACATAATGATAATTCATTTGTTATTTTCATAAATATGTTTTTCTTAAATCAATATTTGTTTCCTGCTTACTTCTAAAAATTGCTTAAAAACCCAAAAAGGGAAATTTTAAACACAACAACTCAAACAGGTTGAGAACCGCTACACTCTTCTTTATTGCTCTCATCCACGTCGCTCTGTAAATTCACCCTCTCGGTTCTGTATTTTGCTTTTCTTTTCTCACTCTCCTCCCCAGAGTTTGTGCCTTTCTTCTGTTCTTCTGTTTTCTTTGGGGTGCTGAGGCCAACACAACTGTATTTTTGTACATAAACTCCTGCACTTTAAACACAATACAGTTGTTGACAAAAACTATTCTCTGTGGGCTTGTCTTTTCTTTCTGATTCAATTTCCAGTTGCTGAAAAGGCTTTCTGGCTGTTTTTCACAAACATTTGCCTTTTGCTTCCTCTGTTCTTTCCCGTCTTTTCTCTGGCTCTGTGTTGATCTGTTTCATATTTCGAGCCACGCTGACACTCTGACAGGTATGGCTGACTTTTTCTTTTTTTCATTCTTGTTCTGATGACACTGTCACTGTGCATAAACCCTTCACTCTGCAAAACACTTGATATTTTATCCTGCTCTGCACCTGCATGATGAGGCTTAGATGAATTTGGTCAAGAGAGACTAGATTTCTTGACTCTTGTAATATTCTATTGCAATTATTTGCAGCAGGGTGGTGTAGTGGGTAGCGAGATGGGCTCAGGCTGTGGTTGGAGAGCCCTTGTGCAGAACATCGAATTCTTCAGAAGGGAAACTTAAAGGGAGTTTCACTATAGGAATTGTCTGCTGACTCATAGTTTATTAGAGCATTTGCAGAAAACTTCAAAAAAATCATGCTAATGTTATTAAATGATACATTGTTATCATACACTGTTGTCTCCGTGTGTTATGCTCCTGTGCCACAGCAGGAGAGTTTGAGGTCATTTCTTACACTGTTGTAATACCGTACATGGTTACTGTTATTACTTTATTACTGTAACAAATGTTGGGAACCACAGCTCTTGGCGGCCTTCTTTCTATTTTTGTCATTGCTCATGTCTTGTGTCCTCGTCGTTCTTGCAGGAGATGAAACCTACCAGGACATTTTCCAGGACTTCACCCACATGGCCTCCAACGACCCGGACAAGCTGAACCGCTACCAGCAGTACGACCCGCAGCGACCCTGACACTCCAGAAACACCGTCCACTAGCACTGACACTGCCTGCTCAAACCGAGAGGCAAAGTAACGATGTCTGCCTCCACCTGGAAAGTCACCAGGTCATTTTTCCTCCAACATCGTTTAGAAACATCTGCATTAAAGCTGGTTAGTGCCACCACAGCTGGGACACATGCCACCATATCTAACGTGGCTGAAGCTCCCTTTCATCAGATTAATTTGACATGCAGCTATGATTACAGCCCTTGTTTAAAAGTTCAAGCACTTCACTCGGGTGAAGGGGAACTTCTGTGAATGGAAAATTCTTTTGTAACATTTTTTTTAAACTGTGCTCAGTAGGACCTATTACAATAAGTGAATGGTACAGTGTTGAAGCCTTTGAAAGGATTTACAGAGTAATAAAAAAAAAAAATCAAACAATAATTGAAATCAGTCTGAATGTAAAGCTACCAAGAAGGCCGTCAGTTATTTTGACTGAGTTTAATCTTTCACGTCACACTTTTTTTTTTTCAGTATTTAAAGAAAAAAAGAAGTGTGCTGCGTCCGTTGTAAAGAGAGGTTAGTGCATGACAGACTGTTAAATACTCCTTTTCAATTTTTAAGTGCTTCCTCTTTTCGTAGGATTCTCTTTATGAGCATAGGCATCGTTTTTGTTCTATCTTGTTTTATGAACTCTCAGCAGCGTATACATGGCAATATGCTTTTACTTATTTGCACAAATCTGTTTGTCTTAAATCGCCACTGATGTTTACCAATTTTGATGGTAAGACTTTGACGTGTTGAACAATGTACAGTGATTTATGGAAGTAAACATATTATTGATGCGTCTTTAATGTTTTTTTTTTTTTTTTTAATGCTTGAGATTTCCCTCTGAATGATTTTAATTTCCCATGTTGTCACCACCTCAGTACCTGTGGTATGTCTCAGTGTGGCAATCAGCCCTTCAGCTTCTCCATTCTGTGTATCTGAAATAGCTTCAGTCGTCTGAGGGGACTGTGAATTTGTAGATTCAGTCTCAAGTTAAGAACTGTGCATCAGTCTGGACCTATAGAATATAGGTGGACATTTTATTCCCATTTATTTTAGAATTGTCGGCAACACTTTATTTTTACAGGTTCATGATTTTGTAAGAATTTCCACTGAGTTTTCCTGGAAGAAACTGTGTGATTTGTTAATAATTAAAATGAATGTAGGATTTTCCTTGAAAGAACCGTTCCATCTAGACACAAGTAAATGTTTATTTTATACTGGAAACCTTAAGGTTCAGTCCTTGTTGATTTGGCAACACCTGTGGTTACCGTGGTAACAGAAAGTGCATTTTAATACTACAGCAACTGTTCATCTAAGAGCTCATGGTGGCTGCTCCCACTCATTTCATTACTCTCTTGCTAAAGTGAAAAATAGTCAGTTGACTAAAAAATGCTGAGAATGACTGTCTTGTTTTGTAGATGTATTTTTGATTTAAAAAACAAAAAACAAAAAACAAAAAAAAAAAACAAATGTTGGTGACAAATATACTGTGACTGCTTCACAATAAAAGCCACCCTATGTTTACCCAGTTTTTCTGGTAGCTTCCTTAGAAATTACTAAGAAATAATTAGGAAATGAAGGACCTATAATACAGTGAAAGGATACCAAAATACCATTCATAGTTGTTTTGTTTCGTTTTGTTTTTCAGAGGAAATTGCACAGTCTGGTATTTCTGTAAAGATATGTGGCCTGAGTTGTAAAGCCACTGTCATTTCATGTGTTGAGCTGTTAAAGAAACATTTTAAGACCTAATTTAGACGGTATCAGCTGCCTTCACTGAAATGTTGAACTCAGAAATTAATTCTGCAAATTTCATATAGAAGTTATGCACTGTACTGTATGATGTTATTTTCTTCGTCATACTCTTATAAAACTGTACAATCTTCACTTCTCTTTTGCATTTACAGTATATAGCAAGATAAAATATCTGTTTCAGAGGAAACCTTTGGCCAATGCAACATGGGATACAATTATTGTACATTTTGTACAGATGTTTTTGAATTCTCCAGAGAACTGAAGTATAAAGTTAGAGGTACTTGAATCATTAAATAAGCTTTTGTAAATGCTGTTCTTTGTATCCTTCGGTAATTTTAGCCCATTTTATATTGCCTGTCTGTAAACCAATATACATGTACTGTATATTCTACCTGTAATATGTAAGGACTTCAATACATACTGACTGAGGATCCAGCACTGAATGTTGATTCTTTTCTTTTGTTTGCTTGCTTTTCTCAAGATTTAATTTGAACCCATGTGCATCATCTGTCTTCCTTAAAGTAATTACAGTAATGTGTTTGTCAGAATAGACTTGGTGTCCAAGTGGACTTCCACAACCTGGTATTTGACATGACTTTGTTCAAAAGACAATATGGAACTAGACACATCTTTCTCACCTCACAAGTTTCTCATGTGGAGGAAAAAAAACATCTGGCAGTTCTCATAGAGTCAGAACATTTATGAATCTGTTTTCAAATATCCATTAAAAATCCTAAAGTTATATGATCACATCAGTCCCCAGTCTACATTTTAAGATTCTTTAAGAGTATACAAAATTATATTACAGAAGGATTAAAGAAAGAAAATTGTCAAGACACACAAATATAAAAAATAATTCAAGGCAAAAAGGCTTCAACAAATTTCTCCCCGTTTCAAAAAGACGAGAAAGTCACCCCTCCTCTCAAAGGCAGGGTACTTCCTCTTAATCGCAAATGAGTTTTTCAACAGCAAAGCTAAAGCAAAGCAGTATTTCAAGTCAGCCACTGTACACTTGGTCTATTAACATTTCTGTAGAAGTGGCCTATTATGTTTTGCTTTTTATAAACAAGAAATTTTCTCAGTAAAGGAGATGCCAGCACTCACACTTTAATAGTCTTGTATGCCCCATATTAAAATAAAATACTATTGAAGTGTGAGTGCCGGCATCTCCTTTACCTTGTTTACTCAGCTACGACCGTGCACCCGATGCAGTTTCCTACTCAGGATTTGGAGTTGTGAGTGCTACTGCTGTTTTTCTCAAGATAAATTTCTAATTTTAGGTTTCAAGGTTGCAATATGATGAAAAGAGTCTAAAAATACACAGCAGCTCTTCCATTTCTCTGTATCTTGCTCATTCAGTATAATTTCAGCTAATTTAACTGTTGGCTTTGTACATCGTAGCTAATGACGGTGTCAGTCAAATACTGAGCTTTAATGTTAGGCACAATGTCCAAGAATCAGATTTAATTTTTTTACATATTGAGTTGAAGTGTTTTTATATATTTACACACATGCTTTTATGTGGTTTGGAAGAGAAATCCTAATTGTTGCTACAGAGGCTTTTAACTGATGTATGGGGTCAGAGTGATTCTTCTTCTTGAACTGTGCGTGAGGAAAAGTGGATTTTGAGATGTTGTAATTCTTTTCCACCCCTGTTGCTACTTTGCAGACTTTTTCTGAATAACCAGAGCTGTTTGGCTTTGCAGATAATAACTGTAATATATAATGTTTTATAATATACATGTCCAGCAGAGGGAGGGCTGCTTTTAGTCTTTGATTGTTTTCAAGGATACATTCTCGACATGTGGAGCCTGAAAATGCAGCTGGGATCCTAAGAGGCAACTTTATGTAAGTGAGTTTTTAATTAATTCACTTTATTCATTTTCACTTGGGAAATAGGTTTTAAACCTCACATGAACCATAGTTTGTTTTCATGCAAAGATTAGTGATATGTTTTATGTGGTAGTATGTTATTTTTAAACACTGAATCTTGTTTTATCAATGTAATTAAACTAAACCTTCACAACTCTAATATCAACCTCAGCTGAGACTCTGTGTTTAACCCTAAACTGACATGGACATTATTAGTTTTTGATATATAAAGAGCTGTTATTCATGCCTTCCAACTTGGCCTTGTACACAAATGAAGTCATAAATACATCCCCTTGCCAACCTTCATACACATCCATGAATATATTACCCAGTCTCATTCCACCTTTAATAATTACAGCATGTTTATTTCTGCAGCTGTTTAAATGAGAGGCATGCAAGCCAGTAGTACCTACCACTTCAAATGAGTTATAGTCGTCTGTGTGTGTGTGTACAGTAGGCCAACCTGTATGTTTAGTCTGCCGCAAACTAATGTTCCTGAAAACACATCGCTTTTTCAACAATGATAGCAAGATCATAATTCACCCCAATACTCCTGCACATGCTCATGTTTAACATACAATACACCTTCTGAAATAGCAAGGGGAGTGTCAGTGTGTTTCTCGCCCTCACACTTCAAAATGTTGTGAAAATTGTGTCAAAGAAGGATGAAGCAGGATGACACGAAACAAATATGGGAGCAACTAGAAATGTGAAGTGCAGCCACCCCTGCTCTTTAGTTGATGTGAAGCTACAAACTTTATGTTACATTTATACATTTTTTTTATTTTTCATTATTCCCTAATATGAGTTTAGGACATAGCCTCTTTGGTAAACAAACAATATAATGGCAATATATTTTCTAAATTACCATTGTTATTTAGCACATGTGCAAAAAACCTGCAATAAGCTAATACTGGCTCATTTATTGGTCTAGCTATAACACAAAATATTACTGTAAACATAGTTAGACACAAGATGTTCAACTATGTTAAGTTGATGTTAACATAGTTGTATTTCGTTAAGTAGTATTTTTGTGATTTATGTTTTTATTGTTTTAAAATAAAATTCATCCTGAATGACTAGAAAAACCTGGGATTGTTCTGCTATAACACATTGTCATTTCAGTGATGTATTCTCCTCAAAACATGGTCTCCCGTTCTAATGTTTGTTTAAATTCTTAGGAGTAGTGTTGCAAGTAAATAAGTGATCTAATAAGTACTCTAAGTGAAATAAATATTAATGGACACAGAAACAAAAAAGCAATAAAACAAGATTTAATACTTTTCCTGCCCCCCAGAATTTTAAAGTAAAGATTTTAGCATTATGTATTCTTGCTACAGAGCCTTCGCAGGGCACTTATGTCATCTATATGTGCCAGTTTATATATGTGATCTGAGTTTTATACCATCTGAGGTTAAAGGTCATCCAATGCATGCCAGCCTGTCCCATCCGTCCGCCGTGCCTGGCTCATGGGCTTTGCTCTGTGTATCGGCCACCGGGCCTTTTCCAGGAAGTCTGCGGTCTGCTCGCCTGTGGAGAAATGAAGGGCCGCCGCTGGAGATGTTTCCCTCCATAAAAACGCCATGTGCACAAACGCTGAGAGGGCCAAGCCCCATTAATGCCGCTCGGACTGCCAGGGACCAAACTACAGAACATATGCATGTTAACAAGTGACCGAGTCCAGTGGTGACTGAAGTCTTATTTTCTTCAAACAAATAAAAAACACCAGTCAGATGAGATCATTTCACTGACTTCAAATGCAAATCCTAGTCTCAATTTTTTTTGGAATTCCATTAGTTTAAGGAAAATTTTAATAGTGAACACTAAACTGCATACACTGCAAGTTAAACCACAATTTATCTGACTATCTTTCGGACTATAAGGTATTTTTGCATGACTCCTGTCCAGACCTTATGGTGGAGGCTCCTTCAGTCTCCCTGATCGCTGCTGTTTGACCAAGTAAGAAATGGTGATGATGGTGATGAATCATACCAAATTGTATTGATCTATAATAATTTTAAGAAGAAGATGAACATTGAAGTAAGTTATGACCATGTTTGATTTTTCTAGAAGGTGTCGACAAAACCAGCTGTCAGCATAAAAGGTCATAAGTCATTTCAGATAAACAGAGGAGCGTGTGTGCTGTTAACAGACGACACGAGCGGGATATTGTATTAGCGAAAATCATGCAGTGCGTGCAAGATCAACACATTAGCTTAAAATAGTAAACCAACATTTGATAGATGAGGCAGGGCGTAGCAAATCAGAACCTGATCACTTCCAAGTTTGTTCCTATGAGTAACGTTTCTCAAACTCCACTTTGCAAAAGAAAAGCCGTCATTCTGGTAGAAATACTTTGGTGTTTGTGCTACACAGAACAATCATGGCCCCCGAATCCTCAGCCATAAGCCTAATGCTTGCTCTGCCCGTATTCACACTGAACACAAAGGTTCAGGTTTCATATTTTGGAGCAGCCTTGTGCTGGGAATTCAAACAGTCCTGCCTGTATTCTCTAAATGATGATGATGAATGAACAGAGGGCATGAATAGGCACAGTGTTATAAGCACACTTTCAAATCCTCCACCACACTCAAATCTGACCTGGAGGGGAAAAAGGTGGTGGGTGTTAGACAACGTGCAGTAACGTGTTGTACCATGCACCTCCTTCACCTCCCCGCAGATCTACGCTTCATTCTCCAGATCTAGTGCTTGTTTAGTTTATGTCTCCACAGCATGCCTTCCCAGAATAGGCAGACCCAGCTGCTTCCACTCTTTTTTTTTCTTGCATTTTGTGCAGATTTTTTTTTTTCTTCTGACTGAAGCCTCCCCAGAGAGCAGAGCTCCACACCGCGGTGAGCAGTCAGCCGTCAGCCTTTCCAACAGGTCTCCCCAGCTGGGGGAAAAATTAGCCTGATGTCGCTCCTCGACCACCAGGTCTGGTGTCCAGCTGTTCTGACACCCAGAGGACGGAAACCTCCTCTCAGCCAGCTGCAGGGAACTCTGGAGGAGGAGCATTCAGCCAGTACTCCTCTTATCCTACCAAACATTTGTACAATAGGAGCCTAAAGATCAGATGACCTTTGCAACTGGTTAAAGTGCTGGTAAAAATACACTCTTCTGCTTGAAAGACTACTTAACGGATACATCTGGTCTAGTAGTAATTCAAGTAATAACTCTATGCTCTTCTTATTGTTCACAAATCCCATGAAAGAAAGACCAAAACCAACAATAAATTGATACAACTTTCAAATATTGTCTGTGTATCTAAAGTCTGATATAGTTATGTTGTTCAAAAGCTATAAAAAAATACGTAGATGAGCCACACTGTATGACATGTTCTTTCAATACCACAAACATGGGCACTGTGTTACCATTACTACCCACTAGAACACCAAATGTGTGTTAATTCGCTGCTAAAAATAGTCCCGATTAAATGCACCATTTCCTCCTGTTTGAGTGACATTTGCTATAAACGAGGGAAGAAAATAATTTTGCTTCTTAAAAAAAATGTAATTATATATCTTTGACCTGTGTACAAAGATATACGACTTCATATTCAGTTT